AAGCTTGACAAGCTCAGGTTCTTACAGCATTGAGCCATGTGCCTCTTCCTCCTCTGCTGGGGTGTGGCACCACCTTTGTGTAAGTGTCATAAAAAGGCAAATAAAGATTAAAAATTTAATCAGCTTTCAAAATCAAAGTTGTGAAAGTTCGGGTTTTTTATTAGTTTGTTTCTCTTCACACAAAGATTGCTTTGAAACAATACAGGACTGATGCCAAAACTGTACAAGAGCTCAGACTCCTGAAGCTGGTAAGCACCTGGAACCAGAATCTGTCCCAGCCATAAGTGCTTTGTCCTGTTTCTGCAGGTGCAGAGAGAACTTTTTTTTTTTGTTTCCATTTATTCTGCATATTTAGCACAGTTAATAGTCCATTCAGAGTTAAAAAGACCAAACAGGATTTGAGGGAGAAAAAAAAAAAAAGGGCAGGAAACTGATTTTATTTTTAATTCAACTGTGAGAGGAAAACCAGAGATGAGACTATGGGTTTCACCATTCTAACATCACAGAAGTCCAGGCTGAAAAATTCCAGCAAGAACAAAACTTAATTCATTAATGGCAAACCAAGATAGCATTAAAGTCAATTTTAGATGCAAAACATGTTGACTACAGATAGTCTCATTTAATACAAAAATCAGCTCATGCATTTCTATTGGGTTCTAGTTTCCAAACACAGGTCAAGACAAATCACTATGTCAGTCCATGAGAACTGTTTCTTTCATTACAACACAGAGAAGGTGTGGAAGTTCAGTCTGAATAAACATGTGCAAGAAAACAATTCATACAAATGTACAGGTCTAACCTAGCTCCAAAGTAACTATATATCAAGTTTAGCAGAGACACTTCAGGGCGAGTGTGTCGCTGTTACTAAAGAGAATTAAAATATTTTCCCAAAGAATGTCTGAAATTATTAAACTTCAGACTCTTTCATCCGAGCATCACACACAGAGCTCTGACTGCATCCCACAGCCGCCTCCCAGCAGTGTTTCCCCAGCCCAGGACACCTTCTCCAGCCCAACTGCACGAGGGGCTCATCAAGAGCCGGGAGACTCAGGAGCACGGGGCTGGTTTTTAGGTGTTACCTTACCAACCGTTCTGGTGTACGGCTGGGAGTGCATTTTGAGAGGCACTTGGCTGCCTGCACGCACTCTACACACTTCTTCAAATTATTTTTTTTAACACAGTTGAGGCTGGCATAAGGACATGCCCCGCAAGCTGTGTGAAGTCCTGTATTGTTTGATAGCAATCTTTTTGCAAAGGGAAATAGAAACAAACTAATAAAAAGCAAACTTTCATAGCATGATATTGAAAGCTAATTAAATTTTTAATATTTGCATTTTTATGATGCTTGTTCCTATACAAAGGCCCTTGCTGGCAGCCAAGATCGTCTCTACCACCACGCTGAAGAGGGGAAAGTGCTGATAAACCCAGCTTACAAAAAAAAAAACCAACCCAAAACAAACCAAAACGAGGGTCCATTTATCATCAGTTTTTGTGTAAAGGAAGTTAAGAGCTTTTATCTAGGTAGTAACCTCAAACACACACATCCCTGGGGCAAATTTCCTTTTGGAACAACCACATCTCATCTGTTCACAGTGCCAATGACACCCTACGAAAGGCGAAGAGAGGGTGCTCTGGTCTCTCTTGTAGAGCTTGGAGGCGATGCAGGGGAACAGGCAGCTGGCACAGGACCAGAACTGAGGGAGGCTGAATCCCACAGCTCGCCTGGAGGAACTATTTCAAGCATGTTAAATTTTAACCACACATGGCAGCATCTCTGCGCTCCAGGGAGAGGTCATCGCAGAGAATCACAAGCTCCATCCCAAGTCAGGCCAAAATAAGAATATTTCAAAACATCCCAGCTCCCTGCAAGCTGAGAGTCTGGAACAGAGCTCTTCCTCTGCCTCAGGGCAAAAAAATACACAGCTCCTTTCATCGCTGACCTTTAAATTGTCAGGAAACTAATGCAAGCAATCTCCCCCGAGAAGCCATGGGGAAGGTGAAAGAACATGGCACATGAATAAATGTAAACTCAGGGCAGGGGGGTGGTGGTGTGCGGGGAATCCACATTATATGGTGCTGTGCCTGATCAAGGCTATAATTAGGAGAGGAAGCACAGAGTAGATGAGATTCCAGCTGTCATACCCCACTGATATTGCTCTGCTGCACTCAGAGTTCCTAACCTGGAGCTTGGCAGCCACCCTAAAAGAGGTGTTACGGGACTGTCTAAGAATCACGGGGATGTGACGTCTGAGAGAGCAGTGGTCAGTACTGGCACACCCCACAGAAAGCCATCTGAGATGCCCAAAGCCTTCCGTACCCCAGGTCTGTGACCCGGCAGCAGGACACCCAGAAGACAGTCTCCTGTCTGAAGAAATCATTTTCTGTGGCTGCACTCTAAGCATCACTCCCTCACCTTCATCCCGACCTTGAAGCTGGCCCCTGTGCAGCAACCTTCAATGCAGTATTTTATCCACTCATCATCTTCTTTCCCCTCTGACACTGGCAGCCCAGCTCACACAGTAACGACTTGTCATAGAGGAGCTGTCAGCTCTGAAGCCCCCCTGCCAGCACTGACCTCCAGGAGAAAGCAGAGAAGCTGCAGCCTTATCAGCCCCCGTTCATTGTGGCATCAGCGCTGATGTGCTGCACGTTGCTCTGAAGCCACACCAGCACTAGAAGTGAGTGTCTGAGGGGCAGTGGGGAAGGGGGCTCCTTTCATCTATCATTGTCTTTTCTTTGCACATCAGCCCCAAGATAATGTTAAGGTGAGAAATTAGCAAAATCCTAAGTTAAAGAGAGCTCTCTCAGAGGAGCATGAGCTACCACAAGCGCCCAAGTCAGTGCTAAGCTGCGTAAGGAAGGCAAAGCAGGAGTACTACATGCTATACCTCCATGTGGTTTTCCCAGTCACCTTATTGCACAGTTGGCTCCACATCTGCGTGGTGGTTTTACACTTTCCTTGAGTGGTCAAGTGTCAAGAGAAGGAACTGGTCACTGTCTTAGTGCCAACACTGAGCTCTGGTGTTAGAGGGATGGGACTAGGGACTGCTCAATCCCCATCCCAGCCCCACATGCTGACAACCTGCTGCCTCTAAACGTCTCCCCCATGAGCCACTTGAACCAGTTCCATTAATACACTGGCTTGGGGACCATGACCAGGGGTTACGTGCTTTAGGCATGTAACATGCCTTAAGCACCTCCCCAAATTGCCTGTATCCCACTGACCTCAATTTCACCCACACTGAGTTGTTATAGCACCGTAATCACAAACAGGACCACAAAGGTTGGACTCCTCCTGGTCTGCCCATCCTCAAACAGGGACCCCTCAGCAGTCCCACTTCTCCATCCTGACTTTGCTCCCTACTAGCTTCCCAACAGGCACAGTAACACTGGGATTGTTTCCTCGACAGGCGAGCGGAGGTGCCTGCAGGAATCGGGGCTGGAGATGCTCCCGCTTGTGCACGAGCAGCTGCTGGTCAGCACAGCTGCTGCCTCTCTCCTTAGGGGTGGGGAGAAGACAGATTAATCAATGAAACCAAATCCGATTCATCAGAAACTGCAGCCATCTGTTAAATTATTAATAGACGCAGAACTCATGCAAAGCACTGGCATTAATACTCCAGGAACATCTTTTTCTGGAGGAAAAGTGTAAGTTAGCAGCAACTGCAGTGTTGAAGTGGGGGGGAGAGTGAGGTGTTGATGGTTGAAATCAAATTAATGGATTTCTCTCCACCTTCCTCCAGCACAGCATCTCGCCCTCAGAAGACTAAACACTTTTCTTTTTTTTTTTAAATATAATCCTCACCCCAAGCCTTCTTTAGATTCCTACAACATTCACCTACCTGCCTGCTCATTTCTAAGGACTCTTCCTACTGAAGGGAGTGCAGGTCAAACTGGGAAATTGTCTCAATAACCTCCCAGCCCTGACTTTGACAAGGAACATGTTACAGCCTTGTCAGCTGTGCAGAGTGAAAACCAGGAGTGGTTTTCACATAGGAGACCAGTAAAACTCTTACAGAAATCCAATGGCACTTAAACCAGCTCATTTTCACTTCTTGTACCACGAGAATGAACAGGTGGGGGTCAGGAAGAGGAAACAACTTTCCAGGTTATTTTAAACCATCTCTATTAGTTTTGAGACACGCACTTAAACCGCATGCATATTTTGCTCCTCCTTTTTTATAATCAAGTTATTTCTGTGCTGTGCTTGATTCTCTTGTGAGAACAGGAAACTAAAATAAACACTCCATATTTACTCACATCAAATAGTGTTTCCAAGAGGAATTGAAATATAACTGACAAGTGGCCTATTTTTTCTTAACCTCCGGCTTCTTGTCCTTGAAACATCATGCCCGGAGGAACCAGCCTCCCTCGCCTGCACCACTATTTGCTCTCTATGAAGCAGACACAGCGGATGCACCAGAGATGAGGCGGCACAAGGAGCCAGTTTACTTTCATACCATTTTTCTCATGCCTGACCAACTAGATACAGTGCAGCCAAAGCAGATGTAACACATCTCTCTCCTAATGGGTGCAAAGGGGAAGACAAGGAGCCCTGTCCTTGCTGCCTGTAAAGCGGGTGCCCTGCTCCCCCTGCACAGCCCCGGGAATGGGCTAGTGCTGTGGAATTCACCTCCCTGACCCAAGAATGAAACTAGTCAAGGGTAGATAGCTATCAAATAGGCCACCTACAGATGTCAGACAAACCACACCAAACAGATGGAGGGTAGTAAAGCAGTAGTAGTTCCAGAGATGAGAATAAACACCAGCCATGATGATAAAGGCAAGTGGTAGCAAACAGGCACAGCAGCTCAAGATCTCAACCCACTGTGTACAGAAAGCAAAGCTGGAGCCTGAAATAAGATCCAGGCTCCAGCAAAATGGACTATTTCCAAGTATTTGAAAAGCTTCAAACAGCTGTGGGGAGGAAGAAAACTCTCACAGCCCATGACAAGGCAAGAGTGAGGCAGACACGAAAACAAGGTCTCCTCTAAAACAGAAAAGGCACTGAGACTTTGACAGAGCCCGGGGGGCACGGGTGGTGCTGGGCTGGGCACACTCAGCAGGCTCCTGCTGCTAAACAATGTTTGAGGAAAATTCTCCTTCAAGATATTTGACAAGACTTGCCCACCCAGAAGACTCCCAAGAAACCAACACAGCTGTAAATCATGTTTTGTGGGATCAGGAAAACACAACACACATCCCAGCAGACAACAGCGACGGCTTCACATCCTCCAGTGAAGTGCCAGCAAGCCCAACCTCCCCACAGCACCACCTGGCAAATCTGAAGACGCTGATGTCCAGACAGAAGGCTGAGTATGAATCTAAAATTGCAAGGTAAAGGATTTTAAAAACTATGAGGCTTCGGGGGAGGTAACTCGTCCTACCGTATGCAACTACTGCAGGGTCCTTATCTGTGAGTAGGGAGTAGGGATGCTGCTGCAGCCATTGCCTCCACATCACACTGCCAATGTCACCAGGACCCAGCATTACAGGATTAGGTTAGCAATTATTTGGAGTTATTTAAATTCATTTTCATGTGAGATGCTTGAGAAACTCCAGAGCATCTGTCAGATTATTTTTTTTTTTTTTTTTTCCAGGGCTGTGCAGAGCTCTTGAAAAGCCTCTGGTCTATTGTGTATTTTTCCCTTTTGCCTTAATCCAATACTGAGCATTTCTCTAGGGAAAAGTGTGCAGGCTTCTCGGCAGCATTAGCAGTGAGTCATTATCCTTTACAAATTGCAAGTCATGAATTTTAACAACTCGGAGGAAAGTGTTCATAAGTATTTTCCCAAATTCTAAGATTAGAAATTGAATAGATTTAGCCAGAGCTTCTTATGCAGGAAAAAAAAAAAAAAAAGAGAAACAGTTCCAGGCTCTACTTTTTAAATAGTACTACTTTTCTATTGTGGAGTTAAAAGGAATGAACATTCTAAACATAGCTAATGAATATTGTAATTTACAGGTATGTTGTGCAAATTGACTATCTGGTTAAATCATAAAATACCTCAAAATGCATTATTGTAACAGATGGCAAGTGGGTAACGGTGAATTACTGTGCCTTGAACACTGTGTAAGAAAAAAAAACCACCCTATTGGATCTTTAGTTTCTTGAAAAAGTATTAATCAATTTAATCAATTTCTTCTTCGTAAAAGGAGCTATTTCGAGGGTTTTATCTTCCTTTTTTAAAAATCTCTTTGCCATATTCTGTTAGTTTTCCCTTGCAGTACAAGGGAACTGCAATATAAGCAGTTTCCTAAAATATGTTGCATTGCCATTTGTTGTGAGACTACTGTAATATTCCACTACAAAAAAACACCAACCCTCCAACCCCAAAACTGACTCCTTTGGTCATATAGTTATTTACTGTAGATTAGGATAACTAAAAATTGCAGCTTTTATTTTAATATATCGTACATTGGAAAAGTATTGGGGATGCCAATATTTGTAGTTACAGGAACATATTAAAAACGCCAGCTTTAAAAAAGCCTTTAGCTTTATTAAGAAAGGGAGGAAAAAAATCCTGTAATTGACAATGTTTGTCTTTCCACCAGCCTGGAGCAGCGGAACAGAGAGCTGCAGGCAGAGGTTAAGGGTATGCATTCAAAACTGGGACAGCAGCGTAAGTGGTACAGTCTCGTGGAGATGAAAATGCGAAACGCGGAGAGAGCAAAGGAAGATGCAGAGAGAAGAAATGAAATGCTCCAAAAAGAAATGGAAGAGTTTTTTGAAACCTTCGGGGAAATTAACAGATGGAAATAAACAGGCATGTGTTCAGCGTGAAATCGAGCTAAGCTGTAGGAGAGAGAAAGGCTAGATCCTGATTTCAGCACAAACTCCCCTCTCTAAGGTGAAATAAGAAAACCAACATAAAAACTAGTCTGCCGATTATAAAGTGCAGTTGATACAAACTTGTGGGGATCCCTGAACTCCAGGAGCTCTGCACCACCCCGCTAATGCCAGAGACGCTTTCTCTTACCCCTAGAAAACTCTTTCAGACACTCTGCACTACCAGCTCCCAATGCTCAGTGAGCTGGGGAAGCACCCTGGTGCTTTCTGGCCAGCCTTGTCACTTACGATGCACTAAATGCGTGAGTGGCTTCAATCAAGGGATGTCATGCTTGCTGGAGCCCATTTTAGCAGCCAGCCCAGAAGTCCCACAGGTATTACACGGGCTGTAGAGAGTGCCGAGCCATTTGCTCCTCCAGATTATAATTAGCCTCCCTACAGGACTCCTATAAGAACACATTAATCTCAAGACTATCACTGGTAGGCTCCCTCCCTCCCATCTCTTCAGAGCTACCTCTCTCCACACAAGAACTGTATTAACTATTTTCATACCAGCATTAATGACACAAAATATCAAGAAAATAACCACTGTTCCTTTAACCCACTGCAGAAGAACTTTTAACATTAACATAAGAACATTAACAATGGCATCTGTATACCTAAACCTGTATTGAATTTAAAATTATACTTTATATGACAAAAACACGTGGTTCATTATTTGCTCTTCAGCAAGATTAAACGAAAGAGTGACCATCTGATAACTTGGTGTCTCACTAGAATAGCTCACGATGTGTAAGCAGAAACCACACAGATGCTTCTTCCCCAGAGAGGAGTGAGCAGCTTGTTTTAAGATCAAGTGTGAGTGAATCAAAAACCCAGCGTTATCCCACAAAGTTCACGGGGTGAAGCAGCCCTGCCCCGTTCCACGCTGCAGGCCCTTCATTCATACGTGCTCGCTGGCCAATCACTTCCACGCATTGCCTGGTCTCCACAAGTGAGTACGCTGTTGAACCAAAACTAATTTCTTTGCCACCTTACCTCCACACCAAGCAATCATGAACTATTTTTAAAATTTGAATTCCATGCACTTACATTCTTCTTGATTTTTTTTTTTAATGTCTTCAGAGACCTTCTTACTATGAGAAAACACACTTCTGAAGTCTCACTTTCCTAAAAAAATTATTTGGGCCTTGTTTAATCAGTTCTTTCTCTCTTTACCTTTCTAGAATTGTCCTGTCAATGTCAAGAACTTGCAGGAAATATAAAGAAACTGTATGGCGTAAGGCAAGGAATGTACTTGGGTAATGCTTTGTAAAGCACTTCCCTGCACACACACTGTCCTGCCTTTTTTTTTTTTTTTTTTTGTTCTCTATTTAAGGAATTATTTTCCTCTGTAGCTGAAAAATACCCTTTCGTCAAACACAGGGTAGCTTTGGGATCTACTGAGCATTCCTGCTTTATCCAGATACTCTGTTGCAACGTCCTATAGAGAAGAGCTAAAACTTCTCCACGCAAGAAACGTTGTGGTAAAAATTATTTCAGACTGTCATAGGTGAAGCTTTTACAATGCCAAAGTCTGGCTGAGAGCCCTAGCCATAAATCCAGACAGGCAGCTATGTTAACCCTTCCTTTAATATTAGAAAACCTCCATGAAAAGTAATTAGATCAAAGTGGCAGTTAAGTTTTACTTCACCTTCTCCGGAGTTAGAGCAGGCAGCTTTGCAAAGTGCCTGGAAACCTCACCACTCTTTGCAAAATTACTTACCTCTTCCTCAAAGTAAGTACAACAGAACTACTTTTTCAAGTTAGCTGTACCTCTGTTTTGTTCACTGAGAACAAAGTGAAACACTGTTTGAGCACAAGGGGAAGAGAAAATTCTTCCACAGTCCTTTTATATATGTACATATATACACACACACATACATAGCCAGTACCTTAAAGCTGCAAGGAAGTCTGACACTCTGATTATGACACTGTTTCAGCATATGGATGGGAATACAGATCTGTCAAGTATTACCAGGCAAGCTTCTGCAATTAAAAAAAAAAAAAAATCATTTAAAAACACACTTGGCAGTAAACCCAAGTGCTGTTAATGTGTCCCCAAATGTTCCAGCTGACCAGGAGAAAGGAGCTCCAACCAATCTCTTAAAGCTGTTCTTCATTCATTTTTCAGACCGATATTTACATTTTGGTTAACTGGAAGCTAAAGTGGAAACTGAAACTTCATGTTTTAAAATAACTAAGAGCATACATCATTTTGGTTACATAAAACATTCCATTTCAACATAGGAAGAATTAAGAAAAATAAAATATTGCTACAGTAAATAAGACAGACTGCTCAAATCTTTTAAGTATACATATTTATTTGTAATTTTACAGTGGCTTTTGTACTGTTTTACGATTAGGTTTTTGGAGGGAAAAAAAAAATCTTCAGAATGAGGCTTTAACTAGAACTTCAGAACTAGTTATTGACAGTTTTCCTTATGAAATTCTAGTTTGCTTAAAGAAAATCAATCAAAAAAAAACCCCAAGGGAGCATGACTGCTGTCCATAAAAAAACCCAAAAAACTTTCTAGTCATCCTGAAAACAAAGTCCAGCATCAGACAAAATAGCCACTGCATTGAAAGGAACATGTTCCTATTGCACAAGCATCGAGAATGGGATATGACAATCAAAGCCTAATTTCATAGGCAGAAGAGGCCACATGTATCTATAGAATTAGACTTCAAAGCACATCTTTCTTCTGAAATTATATACCATACTATAACTAATATTAAGGCCATAAAATCAGAACACTGTAACAAGTGATAGGGCTTGATGCTACTTTTTGTGACATTTGGCAAACAGAAGGTGGGAAAGAGGGCCAGAACAAGACATACTAAGTATTCTGAAGGTAGTTAAAACTTGAAGGCATTTCAAAAGAAATTCGCAAAGAACTAATTTTTGGAGGGGGTTTATTCTGAATAATTTGATAAAACTGAATTTCATAATAAATCAGTCTATTATACTCTTTAATAGCATGTGTTCTGGGATACACTACAGAATATATTCTCTGAAATTAACCTTTGAATTTTTATGATAACAGTTAATTATTTCTATTTTTTACTCCCTCTAAAATAGATGAAAATTTGTATAATCTTTATAAATTATCTCAGTGACCAGGTAAGGCTTCACTGTGCTGACTTAACTGCACAAAGTTATCTGTGATTTGCTCTTAATTAGGTATCTTGATTACACTGAACTGCTAAAACCACCTGGGGAACCCAACATGTCATGTAATTTAAAGAAAGGGGTAGTTAGGTATTGCTATCTTTCCTAATTGTGTTCATTTTATTAGTGTATAAAACACCTGAAAGCAATAGCTCCAAAGAAGCAGTAACCACCATGGAAGTTTAAATGTTTTACTTTAGGAAAATCTGGGAATCTGATGAAGCTGAAAATGCACATTAATCATTTTATAAAGTTTGGCTTGCCACCATATAAGAAAATATATGTATCAAAAACAGACAAATACACTGCTAACCATCTGTTACATTTTCTTTTTAAAAAATTAGCACCAATTTAAGCATCTGAATTCATAGAAAAGCTAGTGACACACTTGGTTTTTCAAAAAAGTTTTTCCCCATTAGAAGACAATACAATGGCATATGCTCAGTTAGCTGTTATCAGTAACAAACATGACTACTGTTTCAGGTAGCAAACATAAAATGTTGCTCTCACCCATACCTTCTCCTGTGCTTTTGTTATCCTAAGAAGCTACGGAGCCATGAACTACAGACCCAGCCTGGGAAACAACTACACATGTACTTGCTTAAGCACACCCTAGAAAGTATCAGGGTTTGGGAATATTATTTCAGAGCAGGGACAGTGTCTGCCTGTGGGATTCATAGAGCATCTACTGCAGTGGAGTCCCAAGAATCAGGTGTTCTGGCCTTAGCACGACACATACAACTACCTTATGATGTGTAGCCAGAAGGTAATAAAAAGTTTTTTCTTTTAGGAAAAAGAATCCTAGTGCTCCTAGCTAGCTGACCTTGCTATAGGAACAAACATTGTATCTTTATATAATAGATGGCTAGGTAGTCACATTGCTATTCAAGTCATCCTCCAGGCATCTGAGTACAAGATGTTTCTCAAAGGATCTCTTACTATGTGTTAAATTTCAGCCCATTAAAAAAACTAATATAAAATCTCTGAAAACAGGTTTATATTTAAAGGAACATGCTGATCAAATCTATTAGAATAGCAAAGACTGCAACCAAAATTTAAACGTATTCAACATTTTTTACGTCATTCCTTTTTACACCATATACTGGTTGTATTTAGAAGAATCCTAAAGTGCTTCAAACTCAACAATTAATAAAGTTGATTTCTTTTGTGCAAAACTGCAAGCACCTTTTCAAAAAATAAGCAGCAGTATCACAGAATAAAAACTAATAGTTACATGTATTTTCTCTATTCTGTTTTGAATTCTTGGACCAAAATAATTTGCCATATTTTCAATAACAAATTACAGAAGAGTGCATTTTATTAGTTTAATTTTATACTGGACTTGTTATACATATACTGTTTGAAATAGCGGACCCAGGTAAATTTATATCCACAAAGCAACACTGTGGGATTGAAATCCAACAACTAAAATTTTAGCTACAAAAATAGTCATTTTATAGAACACAAACAGAAACGATGGTTATCTCTCCACTTTCCTCCAACACTAATATGAGAAAAGCTGGTTTACTTAAACATTAGTTTAGCTCCAGACATTTTTAGCATGCAGAGCGGGCAAAAAATAAAACTGATTTGATAAGTCTTGTAATAAGCTTTTAGAACATCACTATCACTCATGTAATAGACAATCTACAATAGATGTAAAATAATGAGCCAGAATACACTTTTTCTGTCATATTTCAACATGTTAAAAAATAATCAAAGACACTCTGGAAAAGCAAAGAAAAATCACCAGATTCATCTATAGGAACTCAAGTCCAAATTCTGCATCTGGGTGCAGGTGTCCCTGGATCAAAACCAGTTTTGAGCAGGAATTACACAGTACACATCCCAGGAAAGAATTTGGTTCCCAGTATATGGTATCACTAAGTTTAGCATCAAGCCCTGATAGAATCCATGTGACATATGTAGAATATACAGACAAAGGCTGTTCAGCATTTACCCCCCACCACACTTAAAGTGTCACAATTCAAATAAAACACTCTGCACAAACTGTATTGCTGCAAGACTGAACCCGTACTCCAAAACAGCATCATGTTCAGTAAAGATTTGTCTGCACTTTAACAACTGAACTTCCAGCACACACTAACCTAGAGAACTGCACTTCTGCCAAAAGGGTCATCCACTCAGCTCTTGGAGACTCCGTATGTCAGCTGTATTTTGAATGTCTAAATCCTACTTCATTCATAAAATTATAATTTTAAGCCAAATACAATCAGATCTAAAGAGGAAATTGATTTAGCATTCATTTAAAGTCCTTCCTTTAGGAAAGGAAAATTAAACATAAGGAATCACTTTTTTAAAAATTCATTTTGAATAAACACATATGCTCTGTTAGGACTTAAAGACAAAGAATACCTCAAGTCCCCTCTGGTTCCTAACAGTTTTTAAAACTTACCAACTAACCAGTTAATTTCTAGTTAAAGTTGAGTTTATTTTTCATTATTTTGACATGGAAATGCAAACCCTTGCTGGAAACATTCCAAAATTTCAAAGGCTGTTTGCAAACACTAGTTTCCAGTCATTAGACTAGTTTACCTTGTATGATCCATGCAGACAAAGCCTTAATTTTGACATTCACTTCTTGTCTTTCAATAAAAAAAAAAAACAACCCAGACTTGTCATATCACAGTATTTCCTCAAAGCACACTTACAGGCTGCTTATCCAGATTTCAAAACGCCAAGCTTCTCTTTCTAAGGTTGTTGTTTTGAGGTTTTTTTGAGGAAAAATTATATGAGTACAGATGAACTGTTTGAAACCTACTCCATTTCTGCAATGCCATGCAGCTACTCAGTGTTCATATATTTAACACAATGTTTCTGGTAGATAATCTGATTGATAGGTATAGATCCCTCTTTTTTTTTTTTTTTTTTTTTTTAGATTACATCTTGTATCTATGTTGACCACCATTTATTTCTAGTCATATTTCATAAATTGTTTATGTATACTGCAGTAGTGTTAACACTATACAAAGTCTCTCAAAGAAAAGTAACATTCATGTTTACAAAACTGAGCAGGTTTCTTAATATATATATGCATATGTATACACACACATATTCTTAATCTTTAAATACATATAAATATTTATAAATGCCAAAGTGCAAAAAAATGGTCAATTGCATCACTTTACATACATGATTTTAGTATTAGGCATAACAGTGATTATATTGCACACCAAACTCTCTAAACTTTTAAACCCCTGTCAAGTTACATGTGCATTTTGTTTTCCATCAACGATGAGGTTCTTGTGGCATTGACGACCATTTCACAAACGTGGCACTGAACTTAATCTGCAGTCAGGAATACGACTATATGTATATAATCTGCATGCAGTGCATTTATAGTCTATATGTGCACACTGAAATAGCATGGGAACTTTAGCATGCATCTATTCTGCATGCGTTTTTCTGAACAATCTACATATGTGCCATATTCAGATCAATGTTTATTCAGTTTATTAGCAATTTGGTTTTGAATTATACTGGAATCAAAATCCACAATATTCACTGACATTTCATGCATGCTCTGAAAGCAGCGACATTTCTGTAAAATTCTGAAGCTTCAATGTATGCCACAGCAAGACGACATTAAAAAAATAAAGTATGAGACAGCTTTTCCTGTAACAAGATTTACAAATAAACTCAGTTCACCTCAGGGTTTTGGTTTTGTGTTTTTTTCTGTTCCAAGAGTACATATTCAAGCTAATAGTGTGTACTAGGAGAAGGTCAGATACCAGTTCACATCATGGAGATAGGGCAGGTCTGTTAAAAAACATTAAACAATAATTTGAATCGTAGAGTAATTGAGGTTGAAAAAGACCTGGAGGTCATCTGGTCCAACCCCCTGGTGTTCTGAGCAACCCAAGTCCAATAGGAACAACTCAACTAGCCAAACTTTTCAAATATCCAAAACATATGAAAAAAAAAATGTAACACCACAAATTATTTTTTTGTTAAATATTTTAAAGCAGAAACTATTAAAATGAACATGGCACAGTGCAACTTCAGTTGAAAAAGATTTTTAAAAAATCTTGAAAAATGAAATCCTGTAGGTTACTTCCATAGTGAATCACTAATGTTCATTTTGAATACGTGTCTCTAGAAATTTGAACTTACACAGATAACAAGGATTTAAAAAAAGCAAAAGAACAGCAACCTGTACTGTTCTGCTACACGGTAAATAGATATTTTTAAATGTTTTTTCCAGTGACAAAAATGTACTAAAAATATTTCACATATACTGTCAGTATCCAAAGATAAATTAAGGTAGGCATCAGTTTAAAACCAAACAAGAAAAAACCCAAGTCCTAATATCCTGTAATTCAATTAAACAGAATTTTAAAAATCTGTAATTCCAGATGGCAATTCTGAACTTAACATCATATTGAGTACTTTGCTAATTTTTGAATTTTTTTTAACCTTCTGGGACAGTAAAACCTTAGTATTTTTGCTACAGTAAATTAAGCTATTAAAAAAGGGGTACAATTTTAACATAAAAGCAATGTTTGCATCAAAGGAAATTTCAAATCATAACATCAGAAACAATGAACAATTTTTTTTTATAAAAATAATATTTCAATAATGAAGTGGCTGGCTGGGCCAGTATATTTTAGAAGTTCTATTTCTCTATTCAAGTCAAAAGTATCTTGATCAACAGCTAAATATAGTGCCTTTAAGAAAAGTGGTGTTTTACCTCATCTTGTACATCTCTATTACTCTTACAGCTATATAGTTTAATCTCACACACATGCACACACAAGATCCTTTAGCAAAATTTCACACCTGTGCACTCCAAAGTCAATGTGCACAAATTCACAAGTGTGTAGTATAAAGTAATTTAAGCCCTACTCTACTGCAAGCACATTTTCTACTGTGCAATGTAACAGGCAATGTTTGTATTATCCTTATCCGATTCTGAAAACTGTATTGATAAGCCGGTATTGAAACAGTAAATAATCTCCTCTTCTGACACTGTATTTAGAAAATAGGTATTCAATATGTTTTACTCCCCCAGTACAAACAGAGAGGTTTTCCTAAAGCGGGAATAGAGCTAAGCATTGTTAACGAAATAATTTATGACTCAAAACTACTGTATTTTTATTTCTCTAATTACTTGCTAGATAGAGTAAACCCATTAAAAAAATGGAAAACATTTATACAGCTCTGAGGCTGCAAGTCTCTCCAATTCATCTGTCCTTTTATCAGAGTTTGCAGTGAATGAAGACCATCACCGATATAATTTCCCTTTGTTTGTTTTTGTTAAAGGACCAGTATCACAAACTAGAAAATACAGAACATCTTAAAACTCTCTCCTCTTCTCAACAGGCACTGCTTCACAGATAATTAAATCTTAAGGAAGGATGAGTGACTTAAGTCACTGTAACTTCCATCCACATTTAAAAAACTGAAGTAGTTAGACACATACTTGTAGCTGAAATACAAAGTAATGGCTGTATTCTTTAAATTTCACGTTTATCTTTTCTACAAAAGGATAGACGGAATTGTTGGAAATTGAATATAGAAAGGGCTCAATAAAAAAAAGTGCTATGTGGAAGAATAACTGCCCTTTAAACTTAGTACTGAGAGCGTTCAATGTGTGAGTTCACACCTATATACAACACTCCAGTTGTTAAATAAAGCAAACTGCCAGTCACATGTTAAAACAACTTCATAGAGACTATACATTCAAAAAACCTACTAATGAGCAATACTGTACTAAAATGTAAACAACCACTGTGTCACAGAAGCCTGCCAGTTGGGACTGAAGGTTCATGAACCCACTGAAGAGAAGTTATTTTATTGTGTAATAAAGTCTACTATAACTGCTCACCTGAAATAGGCTGAAACAAAGAAATGCCTATAATAGTGTCTAAATTTAAATTTTCTTGTTCTTTAGACATTGATTTGCTTTCATTCTACAACATTAAGCAGGCAATTTCATAACAACTGAGTAAAAAAATAAAAAACAGGCATTACTTTAGCAGAACATGCAGAACATGGAGTTTTTCTACTTGGTTCCATTAACTTACAAGCAATTCAGACCCAATGGAAGCAAGAGTTCTTTTCCAAAGTCAAGTCTGCAATCCTGGCTGATCATCGACATCCTTCAAGGGGTCCTGTCAAGGCATCGAGGCTGCTGTCTGTATCTGAGGCCAATGTTTGCTCTGTTGACATGGATGAAATGTCATTGATAGATGATGACTGGGAAGGACTGGTGTTGCTATTCACTGCTGCATCTGTGCTAAGTAAACCAAACATAATAAAATCTGAGGCAAGACAATATTGCAGGTACAAATAACCACAATTCTAGGCTCTGAGCATCACTCTCCCCACAGAAATCCTTAGGAGATAAAGAAATTAATAAACATTAGAGAAGCAAGCAATATGTTCCCTAGCACTCGAATCACAAGGCGAACATTAAGAGATATTTTTCCCCCTCTCGGGGTGGGGGTGGGGTGGGGAAGGTAAAAAAGGCAACATATAATGTGAATAGTGAACCGAGTGTAAAGAAGTCTAATAGATATAGTTAATAAAAGACAGCATAATATTCCAATTACTGAAGCAACAGAACAGCAGCAAACAAAGATTCAATCATGGCCATAAATACTTTGCATTATTAACTATTTTAAAGGAGCCCTAATGATTTTTAATCCTGCATGAAAGGGACTTACCCATACAGAGCCACAGAATAACCATTCTGCATAAAAGAAATCTATGCAACAGGTGACATAACATGGTACTGATTATTACATTTGATGAGAGCGCCCTTTGGGGAGAAGGCAGCTCAGGGCGTTGGACACACAAGACTTCTCAAGTTTTCCTACAACTTAAATCATACCAATGAAAAACTACTGCACGTGGATCTCCAAAGGCTGATCAGAATCAAGGGTCTTGAACAACAAAACTTTTGCCTACCTGGATTATTAAGCAGGACTTCTTCATTCACTAGTGCAACAGATCAGCACCATGTATCACAGTTACAGGAGAACTACAGAAACAATGACTAACCTGAGGGCTGATCTTTTACCACACCATTCTTGCTCCTTTCTTCCCAATCCATTACTTCTTTGTATATTAATTCTTATAAAAGAAGGATGGGAGATATGAGAGAAGTGACAGAAAAAAAATTGTAAGATCACAGAGGATTTGTAAACAATTCACATACGTATAAAGGTGCAATGAAATGGGTAAGGGTCAGTCTGGAAGTACAACTGTATAGGTATTTATTTCTTCCCCCCCCCCCCTCTTTTTTTAAAAAGTCTACAGCAATGATTAGAGAATTCTACAGATTTTCTTTACACATCACAGAAGGGCACTAAGCATGTACCAGAATCAACATATTTTATAAACAGAATAGCTGCCTATTTAAAAATAACAACCATTCCACTCCAAAGCTTTATGTATACCTATGATGCACTAATATTAACTGTAAAAAAGAAAACAAACAGATTTGGATTTAAAAAAAAAAAGTATGAATAACCCCCGTGGAAATTTGACTTTCATAATTAAACCATACACAAACACCTTTATTCTTAAACAACAATCTCCATGGACACATTGAGGGAAGTCTGAAAATTTTGAAATAGGTTAAACAAAATATTAAAATATTGCATGAAAACCCTCATTTACTAATCAAGGACAACTCAAGATAGAGGCACCTGAACTACAACAACAAAAAAAAAAGTCCGAGCAGTAACTTCAAAGGAGCATCCATTATTCTGGTAGGTCTATATTAAGATTATTACTGCTGCAGAGCACCAGGCACGTTTTAAGTTACACTTTCAGTTAACTCAAAGCACCTTATGTGTGTACTCATGGTCTTAATGTAACTAAAAGTAATAATATTTAAACAGGTTAAGACCTCTCTAATTCTGAGTAGTAACATTTACTAATGGATTAAATTATATTTAACTGATTCATTTTAATTTTCTGCCTTGCATTAATCAAAAAAAAATGTGAAGTGTACCTGTGCAGACATGCCCTAAAGAAAATATATATAAGCCAGAATCAGTATCTGAAATCTATAAAGCTATTTTACAAAACCAACCAGCTTTCAAAGTAGACAAATATGTCTACCACCCTTGGTCCTGTGATGGTAGATGCTTAAGAACTGAACTGCCTTACCACTTCAAGTTTTTGACTAAAACTACAAGGTGTAATTGATTTCAATAAACAAAAAAATAAATGACATTGTGTTAAGTCAACAATTTAATCTATTTGGTCAATAAGCAAGCGATGAGAGAAAACACACCAAAAAACTCTTCTGCTATTTGACATCTATTGACATCTAAACCAAATGAAATAGTAAATACTGTCAAGAGATATGGCTTAAATAATACACATTAAGAGGAACATGTTTCTCTTTCAGAGAATTATCTATCAAGAAACCTACTGAGGTTACAAACACTTAAGACTAACAAAGTACTCAGAGGAAGGGAAGGAAAAAAGATAACTGTGGCATTTTGTTGAACAGACCAGAAAGTTACATGTATACATATGTACATATACACACATACATGTATATTCACTCCAGATAGAACATTTTCCCACTATTGACTTCCTTTCATATTGCCACAAGCAGTACTGTCTAACTGAAACGGCGAGTTCCAGTCAGTTACACAATCCAGCACACGTGTACTGCAAGCCAGGCATTAATCATACAAGTTATTACAATAAAAGTCATTTGTCATGCTCACTTTTTACCTTTCCATTCTTCAATTGCATGTTCTCTTTCTTCCAACTGTGCATCATATATTTGAGGTGGAGGCTGCAAAGAAAAGAAACTCTATAACGTGTCTACTACACCAGGTTAACACAATCAGTCATAACTGAAAAAAGCCTAAAAATGACAGCTTTTTTTAGCATTTTGTTACCTTCATCTTTGGCAATCTATCTCCTATACCTCAAAGGCACATTTCTCAACTCCAGAATTTGCCTTTAAGTCCTGCTTCCCACTGAAAGGCTGTTTAAAAGCATCAACTAAAATTAAACTCACTGTAAGGCTTTATGGGGCCTTAGAGAAAGTCCCCTTTGCAAAAAGCCTGAGATTACCACCACCTAGGAAATTTCTGTAAAGTAAAAGAAACTATCAACAACTATTTTCAAAATTACATCATCTCCACTCCAGCAGCTGTTCTTCGGGTGATTGTGCCCCTAATGTTGATCTGAAGGCTGTGTGTGTGACTTTTGCTAGCCAAAGAATGAATTCAAAGCATGCTCTTAACTAAAACTAAAGGTATTCTTTAAAGCTGTTGAACTGGCACCTTAAAATTTAATTTAAATGCAAAAACTTACAGCTTCTGCTTCAGCTGGATCATACCAGACAGTAATATAAGGATGACGTAAGGCTTCATCTACAGAAATTCTCTTGTCTGGATCTACAACAAGCATTTTTGATAATAAATCTCTAGCTTGGCTGGCTAGAAAGTAAAAATGAAAAGAACATACATGTAAAAACTGTAGTTTAACATCTGACACAGAAAATGAATACTGGGAACATAGGACAGACTGTAACAGATCTCACTGTGAAAACAGGCCCACAAATCCAAGCTTTCCTATACAGCTACTTCTATTTTTATTTTTTTTTTAAATGAGGTCCCACACCTTTAGCGTAAATGTTATTTTGCTATTATCCAAAATAAACCCTGCGGCTGACACCAACCAACCTCAATTTTGAGCAGTTCAGCTGTTAAATGAGTCACAATTTATTTGGCACTCACTACTGAACACAAAACACTAAACATTTTTAATAAGCTTTAAAAAATACATCTTGGTACAGCAATGATCTAATTTGTGTACTATCAAATTAGTTCTTCTTGTAAAGGTGTTACTGCACAATAACTAGCTACCCATTGTTGCAGTGGTACATCACTGACATCACTTTGTCTGACCAAGCATTGTAATAATAAAAAAGGCTATAACAAGTTATTTTATGTAAAAAAAAAAAATATTATTTGATCATCTAAAAAAAAATCATGAGGTTGGGTTTTTTTTTCATTTTGTCACTAATTATCTAAAGTCAAAGTACAGCCAAAATGAGTTATATGCACACATCAACTATAAAAAGACAATTACAAATAACCTCCATTACAAGTATTACTTTCAGAGAACATTTAAGCAACAGACATTATTCAATAGACTAGAATTAACAGAATTAAACGGAATACTGGGGGCAGAGATATAGTTTTGTATTTAATGACTACTACTAAGACTCCAGGACATGTCATAAATGAAACAGAAAGTATGCAGCTTCTAAAGTTGACACCTATTGCAATAACTAAAAATATAAAATGTTTAAGTGTACTACAGACATTTTAAATTAACATCTTTTAAAGAGAAAAAACTCGCCTTACTTTTTAACTTGTCACGATCAGACTCGGATGGAAATATCCAGTCTGGGAAGAGCTCTTCAAATTTAATACCAGGATATTTTGGCCTGTTTTCCACATAATTCCTCACTGTAGGCTGTAGTTTCTTCATGAAATCTGCTGATGGTGTTCCTAATTGTTCAATAACTTTATTCCACTGATCAATATCTGCAGCATATCTTTAGGAAAATCAGCTGAAGAATTTGAAGTCTGCACTATTCAAAAACATCACTTAAAGAAATCTGAAAAGTTAATGAAAACTTGAACAAAGGACACAAATATCAACTTCATTCTAGCATCAACAGTACTATTTTGAGCTGCCATGCAAAAAGCTAGATTGACATAAAATTAAGATTCAGATTTTATAATCTTAAAGACAGGCTAGAAGTGCTGTACAATGCATGATACTTTAATATCTTTTGCAAATTATTATCTATTGGCTAGCATTGAAAGCAGTACTTTTTTGGAGTCCAAAAGAAGTTATTTGGCAATTGTATCCATAGCAAAACAACTATAAGGACAGAAAAGAAATGCTGCTGTTTAATCTAAGTGCAACATAATACCATTAACACTAAGATTACTGGAAGTAGGGAAATATGCATGAAAAAACCCTAAAGCACAAATACATCCCATTCAAAGTAAGGAATTTTGTGCCTGTCTCCTAAAGAAATTAGGCTCTGGGTTGTAGCAGTGGGGTGGGGTGGGGGTAGGTTTTGTTGCTGTTGTCTGTTTTATTTTTTGAATTTTCAAATTCAGAAAAGGTTCAAAGGAGCTCTGAATAGTGAATCCAGATTTCTGTCGGGTTTACTCAAAAAGGCTACTCTGTTCTTAAATTCAGAATTTAAATATTTTACGGGAATTGCATTTACAAGCCACAAGTTGAAGTTGTGCCTCAAGTTTCTTCTGGACTGTCCCTTCTCCCTCTTTCAAGTGAAGGCACTTCCCCTAGACACAGTGACACTTGTTACAGAGATACCAGAGTCCACTCTGAACGAGCCTAGTCAGGATAACAAAGCTCATTTATCACACTGCATTAGTATTCCTGATACTTACATTTCTTCAGTTTAACACTTCACAGATTTTTCTGATAAAAAGAATGTGCAATTCTTGCAGAGTCTAATCACTGACCTTGCAAACATCCATAGCTAAATTCATAATCTACTGCTTCAACCTATGCATTCTCATTGACACATTTTGTAACATAACAAGTTTGCTGCATTTTGAATTAAAATGTATTTAAAAAACTGAGGTGCTTTTATTTCAGTTAATGTGCCAAGAATACAACTAGATATATATGTATAGTAATTGCTTTATGCTAAGATTTTATTTAGACTTCTGATACAAAGATTGAAAATTTTATTTGTTTACTGAATACATTCCAGTGGAAAAACCATATTCAAATCAGAAGTAAGAAGTCAATATTGTTAACTCTCATGCTAAAACAAAACATATAACAAAGAAAATTTTAACATACATCAGGAAATTTTGTTCTTAGCTGGAAAAGTGATTTCTGTGAGATCTCCACCAATCTAGATTCAAGAAGATGCTTTTTCTTTGAGTGACAGCAGCCTGGTTAGTCAGCTAATCAGAGTCCAGTCTATGGTGGTCTCAGAGCACTGGGGGCAGAAAAACTTAACGACCTATGTCACTTTGGTAATAAAAAATGGGGAAAAAAACCCAATGACATAGTTGGATTGCTTCAAAGTGCTTTACAGATACTGAAAAAAAATTCAATATAGGATTGACTTGAAATAAGCTAAGCCTCTTGTCAGAAACCCAAATGATAGAAAATCCTAATTTCAATGTAAAGCACAGAGAGCATGCTATACGAATAATCCTCCAATCTGCAGACAAAACTACCCTTCCTGTTCTAGTGACCTCGGGGTCAAAACTAACCAGAATTTTAACCCATACCAAATATATCTGCCTACTTTTGGGGCCTCTGGAAAAGCTGAAAACAGAGTTCTTACTACAATCACAATAAAGCATGATTTTTCCCAAGAAAGCCCCCTGATGCTTTCCGCAACAGTCTTTGTTTCCTTCATTACCTGGGCAGAAAGAGCATTGAAAACACATCGGTGGCACTAAGCTTTCCATTAGTTCATCTTGGGTAGCTACACTGCCTGATTTTTCTACGTTTTGCACTTCCAGTTCAGCAGCACCTGCCAGGAGCAGGTTCAGGGCACCCATCGCCCTGGCAATGTGAAGCACCTCATTCCACCCAGAGCAACTATCCCAGCAACCCCCACTGACCCTACAGGAAAATACAAACTACTGAGCCTAAAAGTAGGTTTTCCTGAAGATGAGTCAAAGGCAACAGGCTGAACTTGGTTCCCTGCTCTAAATCCCCAAATATTAAGACATTTAAAAATTTAACCTAAAAAACAAGCAAACAGAAAAACCCCAAACACAACTGAAAAAATAGGAAACTTCACGGCCACATGTGCCAGCATCACCCATAAACCACACTGCCAAAACAACCCTGCAGCTGAAGATAAAACAAAGTGACAATCTGACCGAAACAGTCACCACTTGGGACAAGTTTCAACAACAGTAATCAGTATTTTACATTCAAGAGAAGCAAAAGTCTAACAAGAAATAAAAAAACCTGTAAGCACACTTATGCACTTCAATAAGATACCAGGGGAGGAGACTCCTTGAAACATAGACTGGTGGAGCTTCAGTGACCTCCAGAGAACCACAAGTGATAGCTTGCATATTCAGCAAGTATGGACAAAATTTCCTTCATTTATTCATGAAATGAATCAAAATAGCCCATGCTAACATGCAGGTGAAACACATAACATACATGAAGAATTGTGTTAGGTTGGTCTGAAGGCTTCAAAAGGTAAAACAATAAGTATAGAAAGGAAGAAAGGTGGAAAACAAAAAGACTTATTTAACAATTAATCTTTTATACTACCAAATAATGCGTGATCAACTGCTGAAGATTAGTGTCATGAAATTTAGCATTAAAATTGAAAGTTCTCTATAAGATACGTAGGTATCTGAACATGTACTTGATATTTTTAGTGGTGGACTCAACTTTTCCTTGCTGACAAGCAAAAATATTATACTTTCTTCAAAATCTGGGACCACAAGTAGCTATAGCTTCTGATAACCTACAGCCATAACTGGAAATTCTGGTTTAATTACATCATCTGGACAGATTCTATTTATCTACCTATCAATTTCGAATGTCTGGTCCTACAACACTAGCTACTACTTTGTAAGATATTATTTATAAAGGATGAAACTGTAATTGGAACTTGATAATGAGTCAAATATTTTAAATTTTGTTTCTAGGGAAATATTCTGAAATACATCAAATTCTTCAGAGAACATTTACTTTATTAAATTACTACTTCTGTTCACTTAATACAGTGTAAAGACTTGTTTGTGATCCAGTGATTTGTTATTGAGATTTCCAATCTCTAAGGCATGAAAACATATGAAGGTTTTGTTTGTTTTTAATACAGTATAACTTCCTACAATTACTATCATACAAGAGAACAGAATTTTATGAAGACAAATCTGAGTCAAAAATACTGGGAGGGGGAAATGGAGGAATAACAGTCTTACAAAAAAAGTAAGCCCAAAATAAAATTTTAATAGAATGAAAAAAATTCCAAAAGGAAAAAGTTTTTCTTTTTATATTAAATAATAGTAATAAAAAAAGATCTCATGCAGTGTGTTTGTAGTTAGGACAGTGTTGCCCAGCAAGTCCTAATGAGTAAGAAAAAAAAGTCTGAAACTAAAAAAATTGTACAATAAAAAAAAAAAAAGAGTCTACTGTTCAAATAAATAGTAAGCAAAATCCATGCATAGTAAAAAATAACTTTGTAGACTTTTGCTTATAACACTTATCTACAAAGAACAAGAGTAAGAAAATATACTTACTGCTATTTATTTTTTAATCTTAGCAGTATCCTTTTTTAAGCTACAAAAGCTGAAGCTCTTAGTATAAGTTCTATGGATTCAACCATTACAAATTACATTAAATATAGCCTACTAAGAAAATAAAATGGAAAGCTCAACAATTTGGTTAATGACACTAATTTCAAATAGTACAGTAGATCCATTAAAACATAGGGATTCAAGGATGACTAGGGAAGGATACGATCAGTGCCTTGGAATATCACACAACCTTTCACCAATTCTCCCATGATGCACCCAACTGACCAGATATCAACTGAAAGTAAAAATGAAATGATCAAATTATGAAATATCATGAACAAAAGTGAGAAAAACAAACAAAAACATCTAGCATCTACAATAAAACACAATGTGGAAAACCAAACTGCTAACATGAATTTTCAATCATATCAACACCAAGTGACTGTTGCTAAGTTTTGTTATTAGCATTCTGTAAAATACAATCAGTGTTTACATATCTGAAACCATGAAGAAGGATACAATCTCTTCCTGGGAACAGGACTTTATGGAGGACCATTTCTGCCATAATGCACCCAACAGACCAGATATCCACTATCATATGTTAGGTGCAACAAGGACAAAAGATTAAAGAGGTTTTTTTAAATACAATTATTTATTTGGAAGCTCACACTGTATTCCTACAGTCCTGCAGATAATTTACTTTTTGTCCCGTACAGAACAGCGTCTACTAGAGTTTGGATCCACATCAGCACTTGCTGTACAACAAGCTGCCTTGCATATTAATGGCAGGTTTTTTTCATTATCAGTGGCCCAGCAAGGTCCCGCAAGTCCCTTGCTTTACACAGTTACACATACACAAAAAACATGGTATCCCCAAGCCCCTGTGATAAAGCAAAAAGGTGCACCAGCACAGAAGTCCAGAGGAGGCAGCTATTACTCCACCACTAGTAAAAATCAGCAGGTAAAACCCCCAAAAATGCAAGTCAAGGACAATTTCCTTGCCAATTTTGCTGCCTAAAAATTCAATAGATAACAGCTGTATTGTTTTTAATAATGTAACACCTAGCCTCTGAGTGCCATGCAGATTTAAGAGAGTATAAGGCATGGTTTATGATAGGGGTCTGAAACTGATTTTAATAATCTAATATGCAAAAGGGGACAGACTGTCGAAAGAAGATGCTTCAGAATAAAATCACACTGATAAAAGGGCTTATTGTTTACATATTGATGTGGGTTTTTTTTTTTTTAATATCATGCAGCATGACTCAACAGTGGTTTGTAGAATAAAAAAATGGCAACAAGACAATGGGACAACACATGAAAAGATAATAGCAAGGGAGAGGAAGCAGTAGATGTTCAATGGAGATAGGCACATAGAGCAGAAAACTTATTATATTCTCCAAAATTATTGCAGTGTAGTTTTTGTTATTTCCAATACCATGATTAACACACTTAAACAACAGACATGACAGGGGGAAACCAGCTCTCCCTCCCCCTTTTAAAGGCATTATGTTCTGAGACAGATGCTCTTTAGACAAAAACCAAGAAGCATTACTCCAGCAACTTACCGTTCTCTTTATATCCCATCCCAAGGATAACCTCTGGTGCTCTGTAATATCGTGTTACTACATATGGAGTCATCATAAAGTTTGTACACGCTGTTCTCGCCAGTCCAAAATCAAGGATTTTGAGTGTACAATCTGATTTTACTACTATGTTGCTGGGTTTCAAATCCTAACAAGAAATTACTTCAGTTAAGGAAGGACCAACATGCTGAATAATACACCCCCCCCTTCACAGTCAATGTATGTCACCAATTCACTTTAACAGCTGCAAATTCCTGCTCTGATAGATCTGCTTTATACACAGGCTAGAGACAAGATAAATGCTACACAGCTAAGTACTCGAAAAAATTCAGAGAAAAACAGAATCAAAGCTGATTGCAAAGTCTTATTTTACCCATTTATGCACTGACAGTACAGTCAGTCCTACAACTGTCTGTATATATGCACAATACGTACATAAATCTGCTTCCTTTCACACATTAAGTGGACATATTTTGGGTATGAATAGCTGCATGGTAAAAGAGTTCCAAATACTGCCATTATTAGGGTACAGATCATAAAGACAACATCATGAATTGGGCAAGTATCTGTAGGAAAAGGAGTTTCTTAACACACAAAGCATTAATAAGTGCATTTGTTAATGACAGACAAGCCACCTGCGTTATAGAGATCAGCAAATTTCTCAGAATTAGGATGTAGGGAAAACACAGTTACCCAATAGGTGAGGAGAGAAACAAGATACTGTAGGAGATATGTCTCATGGGAAGAGCCATTATTGCACCCAAAGGAATACACAGTTAGGGAAAAACTAGAATAATTGGGTTTTAGTCAGAAAACTACAGAAGTAGACAAATTGCAGATGTACATTTAATTCTGCTCAAATGCTGGACTTCGTTTCAACCACATGAACCATGTTCTCAGGTACAGAACTTCCTTTTCTTAAAGGAGATGGGGACATGCAAATAATTCATGTGGGAAAGCAACAAATCTTCTGCAGAACACTGAGTGTACTGTTTGCTCACAGACTGAGTAGTTTCTAGATGTAATTTCTACTGTTCCATTCCTTCTGAACTATCCCAGCTCTGTTCCTTTCCTAGCCTGGTTTCTTTTCAAAATGAACTCTCAATCTAATTAATCAAGAATTGCCACTCCAGAAAGGTCATTTTGTTTTGATCCCACTCTAGCCTGATCTAATTCTCACCACTTTAGCTCCTCTATTCAAATAAACTTCACACTGCTGCTCAGCTATCCACAGTGCAGTTCCTCTTGTTGCCCATCTTCCTGTTCAACCAGTATCCCTTCTGCTGTTCACTCTGCTACCTATCAACTCAAATTTCTCAGCAAATATTGCATCTTTCCTTTATCTCCAAATCACAGTCAACATGTCAGGCGGAGTTCAGCTGGAGTTCCAGCCCTTCCATAATTTTAGGACAGCCGAGTCTGGACACAGGCTTAAGCCAACTACTATATATAAACTTCCTTGCTAATACTACAGGATTTTCATGGTAGATTCCAGCAAAGTAAGGAAGCAGATCTGTTGTAATTTATACAGCATGTCAGTTATGTTTATGGATTGAACATAAATAATAAAAAAAGGCAAGTTCAACTACAACTAGATAAGAGTTTTCAGTTGCCAGGCAAAAAAGAAATAAATTTAAAAGGTAAGTGTGTCCAGGAAGTAGGGGAAGGAAAAGAACAGAGAACAAGCAGAACTGTCAAACAGACTAGTGATGAAATTAATTAAAAAAAAAAAAAAAGAAAAGAGCAGCAGTAAAAGAACAGAAGCCAAGAGCTATATGAAGTCTGCACAGGACTTTGAAATTCTGATCATTTACAAACTTTATTTTTCAGAATCACAGAATGGTTGAGGCTGGAAGGGACCTCTGGAGGTCACCTGCTTCATGCCCTGCTCAAGCAGGGCCACCTACAGCCAGCTGCCCTGGGCCATGGCCAGACGACTTTTCAATACCTCCAACAATAGAGAAATTTAAGAGGTAATAATTTAACTACTAAATTTTAGAGATTCATTCTTTAGTAATTTGAAAGGTCCACAGATACTCATGTTTTATCTTTAAATTAGTTTGGCATTAAATCCATGAAGATAATCTGATTTAAGATCTATTTACAACACAGTTTTTATCTTTGAACTAGAAACAATCTTCAGGTTTAATAACATTCTTACGAAAGAAACATACTTCTGAAATAGCAACCCCTTACCTTCCCCCTGACTCATTAAGAAAATCTGTGTTCATAAAGAGTGTTGTTAATGATCTAATACTACCTACTCTGTGGATGATACCAGCTGAGTGGAGATGTTTGATACCACATAGCATTTGGTAGAGTAGATAAGACATTCTTTCATGATCCAATTCCATATGAATAACCTGGCACAAATTTGCATCCATCAGCTCCATAACCAAATATCTAAAGCACAAAAAAGAAAGCATTAAGAAAACTCTTATTTATACATCAGGCTTAAGCTTAACATAAAAGATGTTTAATAAAAGTCAACTACTTTGCTAACTTATGAGTCAAAAAGCTTACGATTAAAAAAAATAATAATACATGGCCACAATTTCAAAATCAAATATCTATTCAAATAGTCTTACTATTAAAAATTAAGTGTTCAATAGTCCATCACAAGAGATGACAATTCCAGTTTTATAAACAGCAGTACAGAAGAATAATTCTGAGGTTATGCAGCATGAAAACACTAAGACTGACTGAAGCTGATGCAGAAATTGCAGATACTGCAATGTGTCAAAAAATGATGCTTCCTTTGTATTTTAATTTTTTTAAAAATAAGAAAATTAAGAAAAGCACAGTAAGAACTAAGGAGGAATGATTCTTTTTCAAGTTAAAATATCATCTGCTCACCTGCCTCAGACTCACAAGCTCCCCCATTTACCCAAAAAAACCCTATGAATATCCCACCAATTAAATCGTCATGAATCCCTTCTAGCCCAATTGACACAGCTTGCATAAAAAAGAAACAGTCAGTACTTAATTGAGGCCAAAAATACTGTTGTGCTGATGGGACTGGCATGCCAAAAAATGGTATCATGTTATCCAGACCATATTATCCTGAGGTGACCCATTTAGCTGAAGGACAATGGACACAAACTAGATGCATATGCAATCAACAAATGGCAAATGGATGAATAAAAGGTAAATAAATATTTTTTTTATTTCCCATTTCCATCTTACACATGTACTGCAACAACTTTTTTGGTCTTTCTTGAAAAAAATCTGGAAATAAAGACTATTCAAATTTTAAACTCAGCTTTTAACTACCCTCTTATTTTCAAAGTGCGAAGTCTGTAGGATATTGGAAATACAGCTCCAGGGCTTAGGGCAGCATTTGTCAGGAGAACTAAAACAAAAAAATCTAGTACTTACACATCCTGAAATTCTTCTAGTGACTTCTGCGGTGTAAATACATTTAATAAACTAATTATCTATAAAATAAAAATAAACATTAGAAGAAACTTCCACTTTAATCACATAAAAATCCACTATTGCAGAGGCTACTATTCAAAAATCCAAATGCACGCTGTTACTATATACAATTTGAATGTTACTTGGCTTCACTTAATTCACATGTGCTGAAAAACTGCCAATTCAGAAATAGTTCAAAACTGCAGCATGGATGCCAAAGGAACTAAGACAGGACAAAACCACTTTTTTCTTTTTAAAGTTATATGACACCTATCTCCCTCCTCAGTGCCTAGAATATATCCCAAATCCTAAATGATGTCTTATTTTAAATCACATGTGCAAGAAATTTTTACCAAGGCTGTCCAAGAACACGTACACAGAGGTGCCCCACACCACCCCATTAAACTTAGATGATGTACTATTTCCAGAAGAACTGCTAAAATTACTGTACTGCCATCTTTAATAACCTTTTTACTTTTATTCTGCTACTTCTGGACTTCACCAAAAGCTTGCTTAAAAATCAATCCCAAAAGGCTAGTTGATTCCAGTAAGTCTGAGACCTGAGTGCACAACTTCAAAAATCAGTAATGTTTCTAGTTCACGTTAGTATCAAAACAACAGTCACATAAACCTTATATTCTTGTACTAGAACGCTGAAGTATTGATTAAGGCTTGTTATTTTAGAAGGTTCAAAGATTTTAAAATATATGTGTATTGTCCATACTATTTCACTTCTGTTTATCAACTAATTGTTAGACAGTGCTGCATCCCTGCACACTCCATCAGTTAAGCACTGCATTTAATAAAAATCTTGTCTAAATTCAGATTTAACTACAGAGCAGTTACAAGAGCCAAACCCACAAAGAAACCCACTGCCAAGCAGGCTTTGCTGCTGTGTGACTTAAAGTGCAAATGCAATAAAGCACGGCCTGCTCTATAAATCTGACACTGATGGTAAACCTATACCAACAACGCAGCAAAAACCTCCTCCTTGTGGCACCTCATACTCCAGACAGCTCACCCAAGAACTTAACCATGCATTGTGGAGAACTGCATTACCCACAGCAAACCTTGCCAGTCTTTCACTATTTTTCCATTACTTTGATTACTAACAGCAAGTAGGAGAACAAATCTTGAGCTTTTTTGACAACCTAGAGTAATGAGGGAGAGAAATATAAAGCCAAACTTACATTTTTGTGATTGACGCATTTTAAAAGAACAAGCTCTCTGTAAGCCCTTTTTGCGTGGGTTTGATTCTGAAAAGGACGACTCAGCTTCTTTACAGCAACATTTATTCCAAGGACTGTATCAAACGCAGCACTAGAAGTTTTCAAAGACAAACAAGTTAAAGTCTTTTTGAGGGAGAGGACAAAAGGGAGACAGGAGGAAAAAATTCAAGATTCAAGACAAAGCATATCCACTAAGCTGTTTATATTAACTTCATCTAATTTTCATCTAGAAAATAAACACCCCTTAAAATCTATACATCCTTTAATAAATACAAATGGTTAAACAGACATCACTGACACTCAACAGAAGTCTTCCTGCCCTCCTTTCTGTCTTAAAACTGATTCTGCTGACTAAAGACTTACATTCAAAATTGCGTTCTAAAAATATTTGGAGCTTAATTGAAATCAAGAAGCATCTCAGTTGCCTAATCTGTATATTTGGAGTATTTTCTTGAACTGTCACTGACTGACAATCATTTAGTCATTTGCAAGAGAAATTTCTCTTTGCTGAAGGAGAGTCACAACCATGTCACCATGACCCGTTCTGCAGGCATCAATACTCTCCTCTATGTGGATAGTTTACAGTTATAAACAATTGTAGTGCCTAGTAAAAAATTACATTCATCATCTGGTTTTGGAAAAAAAAAAAATTGAGAATTATGGAAAACTAAGATTGCAGGGAGCAACACAAGAGTTTAAATGTGAACATGGCCATTAATCTTAATCTTGTTTTTCAGTTCCTTCCTCCTCCGCAGTTTGAGGCCAAGGTATAAACTTGATTTAACAACTGTAAGAATCTAAAGCTAAATTATCTGTATATGCAGAATGAGACTAAAGTGGAAATACTCTTCATTAACACACAGACTATTTGTCAAAATATATGTGAATGTATATCACAAACTGCTTAAGAGTTCCAATCTTTAAGTAGTTCCAGTTTTAAATAAGGATTCCTATATTACTCTATTTCCATTTAATGTTACTTTAAGGTACAGAAGAATTCTCATTCACATATATTTTCCGAGCTCTTTGCGAGCTCCTTCCTTATCTTGTCAAGACATGTACAAGGACCATCACATTGCAGTACTCTCAGAAAAAAGTACAGCTCCCTGTTGTAACAATATCCAAATTAAACGCAGCTTACCAGCATCGTGACCGCTTTCCCTACTGGAAAAAGCAATAGCACCACAAAGCAGGGTTCACCCATGAGATGAGTTGTCTTGGAGAGCACGTCCCAGATTACATGTCCCAAATTTGAATCTATGTGCCACTTGCACTAAAGGATTGTTAGCATTTATTTCTGCTTAGTTCTGTGAAATATGCAAGTCATTATTCAATGACATGATCTCTGATTTAAAGCCTTTATGTCTGTGCAAAACAAAACATAAAATGGGAGGAAGGCGACTGGCCAGACAGCTGGAAAAATTATTTTCCTCCCAAATATGAAAGCACTGATGTTTCAGTATGCACTTCACTGAGATGTTATATGTAAATTAAAACAGTTTGCATATGTTAATGACTAACTACACCTGGTAATTAATAGAAAATCATTAACCAACAGAGGCTGCGTGAATTAGCTGTTCAAGTCAATCATAGGTCAGCAGTGGACAAAGGAGCAATTTTAGGGGAAGTATCCCTTTGATCTGACAAATCAGGTATATGTCAAGGCTCACTCTGAGCACATGTGAAGGACTCCACCTAAACCTCTTTATTTTGCTTATTTACATGAATGTGACCAATATTGGAGCTCAAAAAGAAAAATTTCTTAACGAAAATGAAACTGTCTGCTACCTACACAATCCAAGGGGAAAGAATTAAAACCAGACTGGTAGAAGACAAAAAATGGTAAAAAATTGTGTAAGCATGCATTTACTTAATTTACCAAGAAAAAAAAAGGACAGAAGATTACCGGTATTAATACCAAGGCCACACTTCTGAATATGATACAATTTTACATAAACTAACAAAAAAAAAATTATGGATGTAATTGGTGTTACATTTCTTTCCCTGTCCCAGCTCATTTGAATTCAAAATAGATTTTTTCAATATTGCAACTGTTTCAGTCACAGATATTTAAAAAGTGCATTTGCCAGAGTCTACCCAGTCATCATCTTGGCTACTAACATAATGTCGACAAATATTTCAGCATTTGGTATCATGAAAGAATTTCAGTGTCTATCCCACCATATAACAGCAATTCCAATTTGATCACAGTGAATTGTAGTAGGGTCTTCACTGTACTTGCGATAGCTTTGCATCTTGAGCAAACGTTTAATATTAACAGTAGTGATGCCACATACATGATAAAACTATTAACAAAACACGACCTAAATTACAGTAGGAAATCACTCTTCATTTCTGTAGGCAAATAACTTCCACTTTCAACTGCAAGATGCTACTGCTATGGACTCTTGCTCTGCCAGTTCCACTTCACTAACTCTTTCCCTGCTGTCTAAACAGGATTTTGCAAATAATAACAAACTTATCCCAACCATTTCTTCAAATTCAACTGTACATAAAGTTATCAACACAAAGCTGTGCTGTAAGATCATGGCTTTGCTGCATTGCATGACAAAAGAAATTTGCTAGAACAGAAAAAAAGTCAGATTCACTAGAAAGTTTCGGAAATCAAGGACAAGAAAGGAAAAGAGATAATCAGGAAGACAAAAATTATTTCAAAAGAATAATTTTGTGTGATTATGCAGTCCTAAATGGATTATAAGACTTCAAATGTATTAATACTTAGTAACAAAGAAGTGCAGAAAGTCATGTATAAAAGTGTACTTTAATATGAAATACAACAGGTATATCCAATTTCCCTCCTACCATGTTTGCACTGTGAGGAAGAAATCCCTCTACATAACAACTGAGTTACTTTTTTATCTTCCTAGAGCTTTCATTTATCACCTTTTCCCAAGTATGTATTTCTAAAACATTTTGTATTTTAAAACATTTTTCTACATTTTAATATCAAAGAAAAAATAAGAAGCAGCAATACCAATGGAGTTTCCCATTCATATTTTGATTTAAAAAAATAGAAAAACTCAGAGCTCTCCTAGCTGAAGTAACACACGATATTAAAAATTTCTCACCAAAAAATAAAATCTACACACAAAGCTCCAGAAATACTTTTCCTAATTATGTTAAACACTGCATGATTAAAAAAAAAAAAAAAGCATCACATCTGAGTGCTACACTAATGACTGGACAATTTTTCCAGCCAAATACAACAGAATAGCACTCATCTTACACTGAGTTTTCTACATCCTAGTAGTTTATATCTTTCCTTTGTGTTTTTAAGAGTTTAGGAATTTTAGGAGAAATTAAGATTTGGCACCTTCTTAAACCTGGACATAGTTTTCAGGTATTTCACAGGAAGATAAAAGTTGATACAATGCTTCACTCTGTTGTTCCATAAATCAAGTGTTCTCAAAACAAGTCAATAAATCACAGCATTCCTTCTTCCTCCCAAAACATTGACCTTAACACAACCCTAACTTCATTTTGAAGCAGACACCTAGTTTAAGTCATATAGTTTAGAAATGCACTACTTCTAATGAAAGGAGAAATGCTTACAACCACTCTAAATTTCTGCATGCCATCTAGAACAAGCACAACTTTAAGAATATTTATACCTGGAATATGTTAGCACTATACTAGGTCTTACCCAGACATGAATAACCAAGATCTAGTATGCCTATCCACTCATCACTCAACCCACTAAGGAAGAATGAAGTATGGTCTTCTGATTTTGCTTATTTTTCACCTATTAGCGGAGCAATGTGGGTATCTAATTTAAAAATAAAGGCACATTCTCACAAAAAAAAGCACTCTTTTCCTACATATATAACTTATTATGGTTATGAAAAAACAAATAGAAACGGGCAGGTGCTGTATAAGGAGCTGCTCACAATACATGAGTCATCACACTTATTCTGAAGGATTTATAGATGAAGAGAAACTGCAGACTGGATTTAAAGCATGAACAGCCCACCATGTGTTGTGATTTAGTCTAATATTAGAGGTTTCCTGAGCATGCTTGCTTCCCTGTGTAAGGAATTAAAAACCGCATCAATAAACATTTCTGCTGTTACCAAGTAAGTTTGGCCCAACAAAATACGGGCTGGCACAAAGTGGTGCAGAATGGATTGCTGCAGTCTAAAAAACATTTGAAAGTGTTTACCTTTAGCTGGCCCAGAGGTGTGGTGCCATACAAGAGACTAAGGTTCAGGATCAGCCTAACGACTCTCACGTCCTGGGCCAGTGGAGGCTGGACACATAGCTGAGGTGACACACCAAGGAAGAGCCGGCCAGCCCAACCCCTCACACAGCATCCCTTTCTGGTTAATCCATGGAGTGACAATGACACTGATTTGCCTCATCCTGCCAGTTAATGGCAAGGCACTGCATTGATGGCTCCTAGAAACGGACAGGAGTGATCGGGAATAAAAGGGGGGGAAGAAAGGGGGCCGTGATGAAGAAACGAGTAAAACCCAGAATCGTTCACCATCACATTGTCATACCTTACACTGCAATATCATAACTACAGGGGGAATGCGAGAACTAGAAACAGAAAAATAGGTTTGCACATGAACTATAGCAAGCAGGTGTTTTAGAACATATTTACTCCATAACCCTGTAGCAAGACAGAAATGATCATCAGTATTTTACATTCTGGCACCTCTATCAGGAATACATTCAAATTTTAGTTTATATTTATAGCTTTTTATCTTTATTTAAATAAAGTATTTATTACTCACCAAACAATGCCCTGTGCCCCTGATCCTATGGGCTTCAATTGCTGGTAACGTTTTAGTACAGTGAATGTTGAATCTGCAACTTGAACACTGTAAAACTGACTATCACATTTACTGTCACTCATGGTGTAGTGTCATGTAGTTTTCTCTCTCGAGGACCTGGTAAAGTTTTCAAGATCTTAAAGAAAAAGAAAGACAACAAAAGTTCAATCTCTCACTAATTTCAAGCAGACAAGATGAAAAATATATTATACATATTTTAATACATATGATTTTTTCAATAGAAGACCATTAAATAAGCATTCTTTCAACTTCATATATTACCACTAATGAAAAATACTTGCAGACAAAGAGCAAATAATTACAGCCTTCACAGCTTTAAGTAAATACATGTTTCTATTCCAATGCTTGAAACAAAAAGCAGCTAAGTAAACAACTGTATAAACAAACAAAACCACCCAAATTCAGCAACTCTACTACTTGAAGGCTACTCCCTAACTTAGAGCTACTACTGTGTGCTAGGACTGTATTGATTTCTGTATTACAGAGAAAAAAATCTGTCTTTCAAACACTGATAAGGCAGATAAAAGCAGGAGCAGAAACCCATGGAGTCCACATACGCAGAAGGAAACAGGGTTTCAATAAAATACTTAATTACAACTGCAAAACAGGTTTGAAACCAAACAACTGCCCTCAAAATCCCCAAGACTAATGCAGTTTCTCCAACATCCCTTTCAGCCTAGTTCAGGAGGAAATTTCAAGCAGGGCTCTGCCTCCTCACCTCAGCCAGGCAACCCTTCCCCGATTCATACCTATCGCAACCCACTTTCCCTCCCATTTTAAACACACCATAACACCCTATGCCATCAGTCAGTGTACCTACAGTCCTACAAGAATGAGAGGTCTGTGCCATAGTTTGAAAGAGACTGTCATGCCATAATAGACAGTAAAGTATATCCATCTGTCAAGAATGAATTAGAGGTAGGTAATTACATCTGAGACCAAGGTAATGGACTAAACCTCTTCAGCTCTAAAGTGCTCCAGTAACAAGCACAGACCTCCAGTTTTCCCGGCCTCCACCGCTCTTCCAAACCTTACAAGAGAATTCAGTAATTACTGAAGAGGTCTCTAACAAAGTCTCAAATTTTTAATCTCATGTTCACTGTGACAAATAGTGTCATTACAGCTCAGAGTAAATTGCACCATCAAGTGTTCCTTGAAAGAGGAAATGAAAGCAGATCACCTTCCCCCGGAGCAGCTGTCCTAACCACCGGCTGTACAATGTCTGCTTTAGCTAAAGAAAGAGCAGCTAGTCCCTCTCTCTTCGCTGACCTACAGAATATTTGTGAGCCAATGCAAAACAGGAAAGCCTTAAAAGCAACCCAGAAGCCCATCCTAGAAGAGCATACAGCCACACAAATAGCTCTCAGTTGTTTCAAGAATTAGAATTTGGATGTCTCTCTTCCTAGGTGTACATAGGAAGAAGCACCATCTTTTCCATGGCTTAAGCCAGCAGATGAACTCCAAGAAATCTGCAAATAAAACAGGTGGAAGACCTACGAATCCTAACAAAGACCAGGCTTAAACTGAACTGATAATGGTTAGTCTTAAGGGATTCTCAAGAAATGTCTCGAGTACCTTCTACCTTCTAGTTTCTCAAAATCTAAGCAACATTTTAAGAAATATTCAACTTGACCACCTCTGGCAGCAATTTAGACACTAAATTTCCTTGATATTTCCTCTTAGAAGCTTAAGAAAAAAAACAGAGGAGAAAGGCTCAGCAAAGGGAAAATGTGAGCTATCAACTTTCTGCCTCTGCCACAGCAGTAGTAGCAAGGGAAAAATTACACCTCCAATATAATATTTTTAGGGGCAGTCAGATGCAGCTCCACAATCAACTCGGACTAAAGTGAGACCAAAATGCTGCCTTAAGAGGCACTCCCAACCTTTCCTATTACATCTCAGGAAAAGTCCCACTCTTCTTTCTGACCCTTTTCATTACTCCAAAGCTATGGACTCCGAGGTACCAAATTTTCTGATTAACAGTCCCTGAGCAGCCATGGTATTTTCAGTGAATACGAAAGGTACGGCTGAAAGGGCACGATCCTATCTCTGAAAAGGGCTTGCAGAACAAAACCAAGCAAGTATAGGTTTTGCATAAGCTGGGTATCAAGTTAAAGATCAGATAGTTACACTAGAACTATACCTCCTCATGGGTTAACGAAACACTTTTCTGTAACAGTGATAAAGTAGTAGGAGAAAAGGAAGTTATCCTGAACCAGAGAAACCCTCCTTTTAAGGAACCTTGTGTGCACAAAGCCATCTTTTAAAAATCATTTAGAGATCAGGATAAGCTCTCTCTTTAGACAAGACCCAAAGAGGGAATTAGGCATCACAACATACAAGTTTCATGTGTTCTGACATCCTTTGCAACTCACTATGCTAAGCACCTGGCCTCCCCATAAAATGAGCCCTAATTTTCACTTGGGCTGTAAGCTGCCTGGATGCATCAAGAGATACCTTATCTCAGACACACGCATTAATGTAAAATTAGGTGCCACAGGATTGTAGCTGTTCACAGGACTTCAGACAATCTATTTGGGGGGCAAGATCCCCCAAATAAAAACAGAATTGCCATTGCTCAAGGGAAAAGTGTATCAGGCAAGTTAAGTTTTTTAATCCTGAGCTGTTACTCTCCTACCTGAAATTATTCAACTAATCACTCCAAGTAACATACTCCACATTCCATACAGGAATTTTTTTGAAATAGGCAATATTGCCATAATTGGGTTCCTAGCTGCAGCTGCACCAAATAGAACCAGCACCAAAACAGAAAGTCACAGGACAGTCAGCAAACATACTTCTACTTATTGATAATAGCATGTTACTGAATCACAATGTTTCAAGATGTTTTTCTATTTGAGAACATGCAGAAAATGAATATAAATTGAGTGGTGTTGTTTGGGGGTTTTTTTAAATTCACATGTAGGAAATTTACAGGAGCGGTTTTCAACCTCTAGTTCATGAAAGTTAACTAGAAAAATAACCAATGCACCAAACCTACCATCAGTAGGCTTATGAGTTGTTACACAGAACTCCACTAAGAAATTTTTAGAAGTTGAAAGCAACTGCACTATAGCATACATCCTGTATTAAACAGTCACTTCCCTAAAAGGTATTTATTACAATGGCAACTTATTATTAACCAGATCTTTCCTCTGGATATCTTCATGTCAAAAGCTTCTGAAACAAACAGGTTGTAGTGGTTGAGAACACATTCCCAGGGTTGTTTTGGCTACAGAAATGTTATTACTGACAAAGAAACATAGGAACATGAAGAAACTTACCTTGACTTTTAAGCTAAAATTCTACTACTTAAAGAATGATAAGACAATGAACAAACATATATATATTTATGAAAAGGTATGGAAATTCTGTGCAGAAAATCTCTCCCCATTCTTATTCACCCCTAGAAATGCTCTTCAAATCCAGGTGTGCCCTTTTAAAGACTATTATTCAATCGCGTTGGGGGTTTTCTTTAATCTTTACAGCAATATATATCAACAGGTATGAGTCCAACTACAAAACCACAGTGAGTTGCCTCGTACTCCTCTACTCACAACTCCTAGCCAGTGTTACCAAAGGTAAGTGTAGCAAAGCAGTAGCCCAGAAACGTCAATCGGTTACAGCAGAGCGTAGCGGTACTCTGCATCTGTTCAGCTCTCTGAAAAGTCAACCTTTTTCTTTAAGCCACCCAAACTATTACTGACCAAAGATTTTACCAAATACCTGTAACAGTATCACTCATACACCGCAGACAAACACTGGGTGTATCTCGGCACCACTTCTGAGGCAAGTCGGTGGGACAAGGGAAAAAGTTTAAATGTGCATCTGCTGTAACCAATTACGCTGTTGTACAATTATGTAACTGCCACATAACTAAGATCACTTCTTACATCCCTTCTAAAACTTCTGCTGAGAAATTGCTCCGGCTCGGGAGGAAGCTCACGTTCGCTCCCACCGCACCGAGCGGGGCGCGCAGCGCGGGCCTCTCCCTGTCTCTTAT